GCATTCCCTCCTGTGAGATATGAGTAGATGCAACTTGTCTGCATCTCTGTTGGTGTTCTTTCCCTTATTCTTTGTCCTTCTTGATGCTTGACAGTTTTTTCCATGATATCTTTTCTGTTTTGGGATTTTCCTTTAGCTATGCTAAAATATGAATTCATGACAAATACTTCTTTCCTTTTGTATATAAATATCTTTTTTTTTTACTTCATTTCTGAAGGATAGTTTCATTGAATATAGAATATGGGTTTTGGGAGTGCTCTCTTACAGCATTTGAAATCTGTGTCCCTTATAGGAAAGGAGAAATCGCCGACCAACCCTGAGGAAAATACTCAGGTGATGAAAAACCCACTAGTCTCGGGAAGTAAGCATGGCGGTAAAGATCGTGCTCGTGCCCGCAGCCTTTCTGATGGTGGTGAGTTTGAAATGATACCTATTACACATATGAATGTTTAATTTAGATTCAGTAATACTCTTAAGGTGAGAGAGAGATAGCTTTCCCAATTTAAAATCAGTTAAAATTAACAATATAAAAAGTAAAAGTATTATTTTGAGTAAAATTTAACTGCACATGCAATTGTAAGAATCAATACAGAGTGATCTAGTGTAAAGTTGATCCAGTTTCCCCCAATGAGAACATCTTGCAAAACTACAGCACAGCTTCACAACCAGGATGTTGACATTGAGGCAACCCACATATTGCCTTCGGATTTCTCCACTTTAAGTCTATTGATTTGTGTGCATGTGTTGGGTTGTGTGTGATTTTGTCACATGAGGAGGTTTGATTTCCACTACCTTTCCACTACCACAGTCACGATACAGAACATATCTATTCCCATATGTATGTGTCATCGTGCCCTTTTATGACTACATCTTCCTCTGCCTAAGTCCTTGGATGTTCTCGGACTTCTGGCAAGCATCAGCAGTTCCTTTTTTTTAGTGTTGAGGACTACTCCATGGTATGGATGTACCACAGTTTGTGCATAGTTTCACTGTTGAAAATCATCTGGATTTTTTCCTGTGTTCAGTATTTCATCTAAAGCTGTGACGACCGTTCCTGTAGAGGTTTTGTGTAGACATTCATTTTGATTTTTCATAGATAAATTCTCAAGAGTACAGATGCTTAGTGGTATTGTAATAAGATGTTTTGTGTTATCAGAAACTACTCACAGTCTGTCATTGAGACAGTACCATGTTACTTTCCTGCCGGGGATGGATGACTCAAGCCAGTTTCTAGATATCCATGTTCCTCCTTTTCTTATTCTTTCTTGGTCTATGGAGCTCCAAGGTTTGTTCTTTCGTCATTCTTTTCTGATAGGAAATATTTCTTTAGCCAATCCCATGGGTAAACTGCCTTTATGTATATTTGGCTTTCCATTGTGTTAAAAAGGAATTATTTCATGCTTCTTCTTTTTAGAAATGTATCCTCATTTCTTTTATCTTCTTTTTTGAGATATAGTTTACAAATAAAATTTTAATGTATATGCAGTGCATAATATGATGTTTGATACACAAGTACATTGTGAAAGGATTCTCACCACCCAGTTACTAGTAAAAAACACAGTCATCATTTCTCCTATTAACCTCTTTATGTTTTGTGGTGGAATTGCTGAAGTTTCACTTTCTACAAAACTTTCAATTACACAATACAGTTTGTCAACTCTAACCACCACGTATGTACATCCTAAGATGTTAGTTCACTTTTTTAATGATATTTTGTACTCCTTTGCCAGGCTCTCCCTATTTTTCTAACTTCCCAACCACAGGTAGCCACGATTTTACTCTGCATTTCTAAGGGTTTGATTATTTTTGTTTATAGGTTCCACATATGTGATACCATACAGTATTTTTCTTTCCTTTTCTGGCTTCTCTCAATTAGCAAAACACACTCCAAGTCCATCCATGTTTCCATGATCTGCTTGTTCTTTTCATGTTAGTTTCACCGGGTATGGAATTCATGGTTTACATTGCTTGTCTTTCCATACCTGAAAGTATTTTATTATAGAAATGTTGGTAGAAGTTCAAATCAGCTTGGCAAATGCCCTGAGACAACAAATGATCCAGTTGTCTTAAAAAAGTACACTAGCAAAATAATTCCTCAGTATGTTCCTGTATTCATACCAGTTATTTAGCATTTGAAGTAATTAGAGGTAGCAGCTTTAGTCTAGATTCATCAATATTCTTAATGAAAAAAGATAGTGGCAGCATTTTCTAATTTAAGTTTTCATTTTCATATATATTTAGCATCATCTACAGTTGTAGGAAATGATACGGAAAAATTCTGTGCTGCCATATACAAATTACCTCAATGGTATGAACTTGCAAAATGGTAGAAATTTATTACTATTAAGTTAACTGACCTGACACCCTCCAGAGATTATTGAGATGTCCCCAGTTTCACCTCTGTTAATGTGGGTGTTTACTTCTATACAAATTTTCCCCGTATCCTCTACCTCAGCCAAGCCCTCAAACAGTTTGATCACCACCAATGACCCCTCCTAAAAGTGCTCTTTTATAAGCACACACTGCTCACTCAGGTTGACATTCCCACTCCCAGTTCCCATTCACTGTCTAGCTTCAGCTGCTGTTTTTTTTTTCTAGTTGCTCTCTTTACAATAAATCCATTCTCCAGATCTGTAATTTTTCCCTTCAGCATTGTTCTGTAAATGGAATCCTGTGGTACTTGAGATTGGCTTATTTCCCTAAATGCAATTTCCTAGAAACTCAGTCATGTCCTTGTGTGTATCACTTATTCCTTGTGTGTTTTTTTTTTTCATTGCAGCGTAGTATTTCATGGTATGGATGTTCCATCATATAGTTATTGTCCACCTTTTCAAAATTTTTGGGGGTTTCTCTTTGGTGTCTTAGGGTAAAGTTGATCATAACACTTGTTCATCTGGATATTCATCTGACTTGTGGCATGCATGAGTAGTTCCTTCTTTTTGTTGAAGTAATACCATGGTATGGATGTACTACTCTTTTGTGTATTGGTTCACTATTAAGCAAAATCTGGATTGTAAAATCTTGCTTCATTTCATTCATTTTGCTCTTTCTCAGGGTTTGCATTTCTCTGAGTGGAATGCCCACGATTCGAATTTCTTGTCTTTGGTGATTGTGTCCTTAATTTTGGATAAGAAACTGACCAACTTCTTTCCAGTGTGGTTTCAACATTTTCCATTTCCTCTTGTGTAGTATGAGTAGATGCAGTTTGCCTTTCTTTATATTCCTGTTTTTTCCCTTATTCTTTGTCCTTCTTGATGCTTGAGAGTTTTTTTTCCATTATATCTTTTTTGTTTTGGGATTTTCCTTAATTATGCTAAAATATGAATGGATGACAAATACTTCTTTCCTTTTGTGTATGATTATCTTTTTTTTTTACTTCATTTCTGAAGGATAATTTCATTGAATATAGAATATGGGTTTGGGAGTGTTCTCTTACAGCATTTGAAATATGTTTCCCTTATAGGAAAGGAGAAATCACCGACCAACCCTGGCGAAAATACTCAGGTGATGAAAAACCCACTAGTCTTGGGAAGTAAGCATGTTGGTAAAGATCGTGCACGTGCCCGCAGCCTTTCTGATGGTGGTGAGTTTGAAATGATACATCTTACAAATATCAATGTTTAATGTAGATTCAGTAATCCTCTTAATGTGAATGAGAGATAGCTTTTCCTATTTAAAAATCAGTTAAAATTAACAAAATAAAAAGTAAAAGTTTTATTTTGAGTAAATTTTAACTGCATGTGTAAGTGTAAGACACAATAAGTACAGTTCACCTTGTTTCCCACAATTGTAGCATCTTGCAAAACTATCATACCCCCACAATCAGGATATTGACATTGATGCAATCACAGATTTTTTTGAGATTTTTATGGTTTAATTCTATTGATTTTTGTGTATGTTTTTAGTTCTGTTTGATTTTTTTCCCGTGAGTAGTTTTGATTTTCAGCATCACAGTCAAGATACGGACGATTTCCATCCCCATTTGAATGTGTCGCTTTACCTTTTTACAACTACGCCTGCCTCAGCCTAAGTCCCTGGATAGTCAGTTGACTTATGGCATGCAGCAGTTCTTCCTTCTTATTTGTTGTTGTGGACTTTACCATAGTATGGATGTACCACAATTTGCATATTGGTTCACTGTTAAAAAACATTTGGAATTTTTCCAGTGTTCAGTATTGCAAGTAAAATTTTGATGACCCTTCATGTACCAGTTTTTTTTTCATGTGTTTCTGAAAACAAGTTTTATTTAAATAAGGGTTTAAATACATAACATAACATTAAAACTGAAGGAGGAAAAAAAGAACACCCCCAACATCATTTTTTTTTTACTTCCATGGCATTGGGCAGCTGTTGCTAAGAAGTTGCAAGCTCTATAGCTAGCTTCGTGACTGACACTTCAGTTTGAAATTTGTTCCCTTGTCAAAAGTTTAACTCTGATAAGAAGGTTGGCCTCAAATTATGGTGTTTGGACAACAATTAGCTAGGATCTGTCTGGTCAAAAAGACCTTGGTGGAAAGCCACAAGTCCTTACACCTCACTGGACGGAAGGTGGCAGGCTGCTTGCTCTAAGCTCCATCACTTGGTCAGATGTAGATCTGTGATTATGGAAGGCTCCCTCTAGTGGTACACATGCTGCTGCTGCTGCTGCTGCTGCCTTATCTGTCTCCTCTCAGCTTCAGGGAAGGCTGTTCAGGCCCAGGTGGTGACATTCTCTGAGGGCAGGGAACTCTGGTGAGGAGCTTTGGCCAGACATGGGCTTGGCTGAAACATCACGGTATTGCTCCGTTTCAGGCTAGACACTGCCAGGCGCCTGCGGCGTGACCTCTGTGTGAATGAGGGACCGCAGGACTGGACAGCATGGCTCTTTTCAGTTTATTGCATGAAGGAGTACACTAGTCCAAGTTAAAAGCAGACCCCAAACGGTTACATTATACAAGCTATGAGGTTTTTAAACTTGTGACAAGGGACAGGAAGGAAATTCTACTCATTGCAAAGAAATCCTCACTTAAGCTTCTGTGAGCCAAAAGCACTTAAAACCCATGAACCTTCAGCTGGTCGTCCTTAGCCAGTCCAATCTCGATGAGGAACTGGCGTATGTTCTTGCACTGGTCACCCTGCAGCTGAATTACTTCTCCATATTATGGATGCTCAATTACAGTACCATTGCAGGCAAATTTCTTCTTAAAGGCCTTCACTAGTTTCTTTTTATCGTAATCATCAGCGATCCCTTGGACAGTAGTAAGGGTCTTCCTGCCGTTTCTCTGTTGAATTCTTATATGGATATAATCCTCAGTGCCAGCGGGAAGCAGGTCATCACCCTTACTTGCATCAGCAAAGGGGTCGAAAGAGTGGAGGTTCTGGATAGCGGACATACGATACGATTCCTTTTCCTCGGTGGAAACGGCCTGCGGAAGGCTGCGGCGGGAGAAGGCGGGCAGGGGGGACGGAGCGTCGGGAAGCGAGGGGGGCTCGAGGGGGAGGTTGCTGAGTCCTCGGCGGCGGCTCAGTCACTGGGGCGAGGGGCGGTGCCT